AACCAGCAATTTGCTCCATTATTTCAGACCGCTTCGATGCTAGCGCTATCATTGCTGTGAGCATTGCAGTTAATATTGATGATGTCTTAAACAAGTGAGCAGCAGCAGGTTTAACATTTGGGGAGCACATTACACACACCGGGAGCCCGTCATGGCTGTGCCCACAGAGGAATAAAACAAAACTTGCTGAACGAGGACCTCTGCTGGTGAAAATCTATACTGACCAATGAGTCCAAGTAGTCATGAGAAAGAGCAGAGCAAAATCATAAAGTATATTTCACAGAGTGCTATGGACAACCAACAAAATATCACCACTACATGAGAGTGCCTATAAAACATCAGTATAGTTACCACCATCACTCAGTTTAAACTGTAGTTGCTGGTCGCTCATTCTCAAACCGCTTTCTGCCTGTCTGACTCTGACATTGAGTCACTGCAGTATGCAGATAAGGGCCTATGATTTTTAGCGGACTTTGATCTCACTGATCTGAACATTTGTTCTGTGATGCAAAACACTGAAGCCAGAGGACCAACCTAAGAGCCAGGCAACCAGCATTTTCAGAATAGAGCACAGTGGCTCTCATATTTCTTTCACAAAAGGGTTCCTTTAAAAAGTAAGATTCAGAATTTTTATTCCTGATTTTCAGTACAGACCAAGCGCACAATAGAAAAAAAAATCCTCACTTGCACAGACTACATTAGACTTTCATTCTGTTAAAGTTCCCAAGTTTATCCCAGTAGAGCAGTGGTCTCAAACTGCGGCCTGGGAGCTGAATGTGGTCCTTTGCTTGCCTTAACCCGCCCTTGGTTCACTATTCCTTCCACTGATACGAGACACTATTCTGCCAAAGTTTGGAGACCCCTGCAATGGAGTATATAATGGTACTCTGAAACTTCACATTAAACCACAAACCTAGAAAAAAAATGGCCAACGGGAAAAGCCCCTAAAAACTACTTTAGAATGCTGCCCGGTATTCCTTCTTAAAGATCCACGAAGTATCAAACAATCAGTTATTCTACATAGGAGCAGCAAAAAGTGGGATCCGACACCCATTAAGGCAGCAGATATACAAGGTGCAGGACAAATCAAAAAGCCAAGAACAGATGGCAAAATCTCCCAGACAGTGATCACCTCTATCTGTGTATGTAGGCAACCTAAGGACAAATAGGCCACAGAAGAAATAAAGGACAGCAAAGACCGAGAATGAAAAAATAACCTGATGTGCAGGGGTGATGGCCGTCGTTGCAGGTGTATGAAATGTTAGACACCAAGTTATTTCAGGGAAAGAGCATGCAAGGACACACGTATAGATAACTTACGCTGCAGTACAGACTGTCTCTGGATGCCAGTATAAAATATGTACAGACACATCTTGGTTTACAGCTCAATTAGAGAAGTAAATGATATGCACCGAGAATATATAATTGCATCTGATGACTAGAGCCGAAGGTATGACGGCACAACAGATCTAGCGTTGTCAGTAAAAAACAGACGCACCCCACACGGCACTGTCCAACCAACCAGAATCCATATTACAGGATAGAAGACCGACTGCTTAACAATTAACAAAAGATCAGAATACTCATTCAAGGATGGGAGAGATGATCCGACACTGGAATGTGTTGTACAGCAATAGAAGTGACAGTGATCTTGGTTATCACTGGATATGAGGCTAGCACTTCTAGAAAATACCTGGTACTTCTGGGTATGAAGGGACATGTGACTTACCCATGTGACAGTGCTGCTCCACTCAGAGAAGCCACATAGAAGTACACAGCTAAGTGTGTTTTAGGACTCCATTGACTTGAGGTGAAAGCTGGCCATACATTGATCTGATGTTCAGCCAGCTCAATCGATTTTTAAAGAACATGTAAACCCAACATTCCTGACATGTGCCTGTTGTACCGTGTACTTGTATGAAAACATATCCTGTTCTCTTTGTATTGCTTCCTTTGTGTGAAATCCCTGGTGTTCCTGCCATTCCCTCTACTTTCCTGTTAAAAAAAAAAAAAAAAAAAGGATTGCACTAGGCGTGACAGTACAGCGTGGTCCGTTTTCTAGCGGTGCCAAGAACATAGCCAACTCTCCACCAATGATCAGACTTGTGCCGACATACCTTCACCCTCCTGTTTCTACACCCCCAACCTCTTTATGCAGCTGAGAACAGAGGGTGTGTGATCACTTATAAAAAAAAATTGTAAATACCTGTTTTTGTCCACTTTTTTTAACATGTATACACAAATGTTTTGCATTTAATTTCTATTTCAAATGGAATGAGTTGTTTCTTAAGGTGAGGGTTTACCTATACTTTAAGTTAGGTTTTAACAAGCTGGATGGTCCTTGAAGGGCCACCAATGACTTGAATTTCGGCCAATTCAGCAAGAGCTAGACATTTGAGCTGCCTATAAGTGGCAGAGGAGTAGAAGGCAAGCAAATATTTCCCTTAAGGCCTGTGTCGATGGGCTTTTGTTCACACGGGTTTTGCATTCCCACTCAAGTGTATGAGAATGCAAACTCGCTTGAGGCACGTTAAATACACCCGTCATTGAAATCTGAATAATCTCAGAAGTGTCTTGAAACCAAGGTCGAGCTCATGGCATTGACACAAGCCAACAGCCCATGGGTACAGGCCTTTATATAGAAAAGAGAACAAAGAGTACATGCACTTATGGCTGTGCCCGGGAGAAAAGTGCAGCATGCACCAGCAAAAAGGAAGGGTAGGAGTCTCACATTTCATCTCACCTTGCCTAAAATTTTCACCCAGCAAAAGACAGGCTGTGTTTCAAAGAGACAAACATTAAATCTCTTAATATATGGTATATTTTACATGCATTCCTTTGAGGGATAAGCAGGTCTCTAGGTTTAGTGGCTCTTCAAACTAAGAGTACATAACTTCCTCCCAACATGTAGGAGTGACGGCAGCGTGTGGGTCTACAATCACATATCCCCTTGGCTGTACAGCTCTATAATTTTGGAGGTCAAGGAGCAGCATCAATTAAACAATAAATCCTTCTCCTGTGACTAGCAGAGAAAGACACCTGGCTAACCACAGCATTCTTGTGGGTGGGGTGTCAGCACAAAGACATGCTACTTCTATTGTCTGCTAATGCTCTCTAATACTTGGATGTACTCTTTCTATCAACTCTTGTAAAGTTCAGGAACATCATGATCTGATGTTTGCATCACTGCCCTAGACTAACATCACACTAAGAAAAGTCACAGCCAATGCTTTGAATACTTTCTTTGGTGTACAACCCTTGCCACATTCTTACATTGCATGCTAGCAGGTTCAATGTTAATGATCAGCAATGAGAAATATGATAGAATGACCATCTACGACAGTGGTCTCCAAACTGTGGCCCAGGAGCAAGATGCAGCCCTTTGCTTGCCTCTATCCAGCCCTTGGGACACCGTTCTTCCCACGGACACCCATGATGGGGCACGACCCCTCCCACGGACACCCATGATGGGGCACGACCCCTCCCACGGACACCCATGATGGGGCACGACCCCTCCCACGGACACCCATGATGGGGCACGACCCCTCCCACGGACACCCATGATGGGGCACGACCCCTCCCACGGACACCCATGATGGGGCACGACCCCTCCCACGGACACCCATGATGGGGCACGACCCCTCCCACGGACACCCATGATGGGGCACGACCCCTCCCACGGACACCCATGATGGGGCACGACCCCTCCCACGGACACCAATGATGGGGCACGACCCCTCCCACGGACACCAATGATGGGGCACGACCCCTCCCACGGACACCAATGATGGGGCACGACCCCTCCCACGGACACCAATGATGGGGCACGACTCCTCCCACGGACAACAATGATGGGGCACGACTCCTCCCACTTACACCAATGAAGGGGCACGACTCCTCCCACTTACACCAATGAAGGGTCATGATTACTCCCACTGACACCAATGATGGGGCACTATTCCTTCCACGGACACCAATGATGGGGCACTACTACTCCCACTGTCACCAATGAAGGGGCACAATTACTCCCACAGACACCAATGAAGGGGCGCGATTACTCCCACTGACATCAATGATGGGGCACATTTACTCCCACGGACACCAATGATGGGGCACGATTTACTCCCACGGACACCAATGATGGGGCACGGTTACTCCCACAGACACCAATGATGGGGCACGATTACTCCCACAGACACCAATGATGGGGCACAATTACTCCCACAGACACCAATGATGGGGCACAATTACTCCCACTGACACCAATGATGGGGCATGGTTTACTTCTACTGATGCCGGAACATTTTCTACTTCCACTGGCCACAGTCCAGCCCCCCTAAAGCCTGAAGGACAGTAAACTGGCCCTTTGTTTGAAAAGTTTGAAGACCCCTGTTTTACAAGGACTTAAACCCATGTCTTGAAAGGGATGACAAGTATGCAATTTCTTCTAAACCCAAGTCAATAACTACGCATTTTGCACTCCAATTTCCAACTAACTGCAGGCACAAAAAAAAAAAAACTAAAAAAGGGAAATACAAGGAACTACTAAAACATTGACTTTCTATATGAGGCCACATCTGCTTGCTCACTCAAGATTTTTCTCAGTCACAGAGGGAACTGTAAAACAATACTATAACTGAGCTTCCCATGCCGATATCAAATTACCAATAAGGACACCATGTAACTTAAAACATCAATGCTCCAAGTAGTCCACACTTCATATTTATCATCAAATGAAACCGGTCACATTCAAGCTCCTGCTCACATGCACAGCAACATCTGCAGGGAATTCTGCTGCAGGACAGGTCCCAGGCCATGAAAAAACAACGTACGCTCTACACACAGATGGTTAAGTCATACTATATCTTTATCTCCTGCACTGTACCTCTAAGTCCCTCTGGCAGTCAGAGGCTTTCTGAGAAATGTACAAGTACACTGTAATATGTGCCCAAGGGGAAATTTCACTGCAACAATATCCAAACTGAAGAACGTGGACGTACCTGGTGCAGCTTGACGTTCATTCCATTCACTCGCTATGAGAACTTCCAGAATCTGAGCACTGTACTCTGGGCCCTCCGAGCTGCAAAAGAAGTAACAACACGGCTTAGATAGGAATAATACTGCAGGTATCACATTTAAAAATAAAATCTAGATAGGCTGTGTTAAAAATGAAATGTATGCTAAGTAGCAATAATCCATTTCTAAACTAACATTTTCCTGGGAATTTCTATAGAAGGAGTCCATATATTTAAATATATACACACTTTCTTTGTACTCACACACATATATATAAAAATTAAATTATTATTTATATTATTTTCTTTCACCACATTGTGTGTGTGTGTGTGTGTGTATGTATATAGATATGTGTGTGTGTGTGTGTGTGGTGTGTGTGTATGTATATAGATATATGTGTGTGTGTGTGTGTGTGTGTGTGTGTGTGTGTGTGTTGTATATATATATATATATACATATATACACACACACACACACACACACACACACACATATCTACAGTTGTGTCCAAAATTATTCAACCCCCAATGCTGTAAAGGGGTTTAGGGACTATAGTGTACATTTGGAATTGTATTCAGAATCAAATCCTACAAGGACGTTGTAACTACCCAAATGCAACTAAAATGACATCAATTGTTTATGTAATACAGTAGTAAATGGTTCTTATGTGGTTTCTTCATTGCCACAATTATTCAACCCCTTAAAGACTACCACTCTGAAGAACAGAGGTTCATACAGGTGCTTTCCATCAGGTATTGAAAACACCTGTGGATGTCACCGAGCAGCAATCAAGCATAATAAGCACCAATTAGGCAGCTTTAAAATGACTGTGATACTCAGCTCCTTCTAGACATTTACTGGTGTGGTTACAAACATGGTGAAGGCAAGAGAATGGTCCAGGAAGACAAGAGAAGAGGGTGATTTCTCTTCACAGGAAGGGCAATGGCTATAAGAAGATTGCAAAGATGTTAAACATACCAAGAGACACCTTAGGAAGCATCATTCGCAAATTCAAGGCAAAGGGCACTGTTGAAACGCTACCTGGTCGTGGCAGAAAGAAGATGCTGACTTCGACTGCTGTGCGCTACCTGAAGCGTAGAGTGGAGAGAAGTCCCCGTGTGACTGCTGAGGAACTGAGAAAAGATTTGTCAGATGTGGGTACAGAAGTTTCAGCCCAGACAATAAGACGCACACTGCGTAATGAAGGCCTCCGTGCCAGAACTCCCAGGCGTACCCCCTTGCTGTCTCCAAAGAATAAGAAGAGTCGACTGCAGTATGCCAAAAGCCATGTGGACAAACCACAAAAGTTGTGGGATAGTGTTCTGTGGACTGATGAAACAAAATTAGAACTGTTTGGGCCCATGGATCAACGCTATGTTTGGAGGAGGAAGAACAAGGCCTATGATGAAAAGAACACCTTGCCTACTGTGAAGCATGGTGGAGGGTCAATCATGCTTTGGGGCTGTTTTGCTTCTGCAGGTACAGGGAAGCTTCAGCGTGTGCAAGGTACCATGAATTCTCTTCAGTACCAGGAGATATTGGATGGAAACGTGATGCAGTCCGTCACACACCTGAGGCTTGGGAGACGTTGGACCTTTCAACAGGACAATGATCCCAAGCATACCTCCAAGTCCACTAGAGCATGGTTGCAGAGGAAAGGCTGGAACATTTTGGAGTGGCCATCGCAGTCACCAGACTTAAATCCGATTGAGAACCTCTGGTGGGACTTAAAGAAAGCAGTTGCAGTGCGCAAGCCTAAGAATGTGACTGAACTGGAGGCCTTTGCCCATGAAGAATGGGCGAAGATACCCGTAGATCGCTGCAAGACACTTGTGTCAAGCTATGCTTCACGTTTAAAAGCTGTTATAACTGTAAAAGGATGCTGTACTAAGTACTAAGATTGAATGTCACTTGGGGGTTGAATAAAACTGATAATGCTGTGAGCACAGAAAAGACATTTGTGGTTATTTCATTATAACTGTTATGTTATATTTGTCTGACCTACAAGTGCCTCTTTAATGTAAATGTAAGCAAGATGACTGAATGATCAAAAGCAATGTCAAACTGGCCAAAACACTCAATTTCAGTGGGGGTTGAATAATTTTGGCCACAACTGTATATACATACATACACACACACACACACACAATGTGGTGGGGAAAAAAAAAAATAGAAATAGTAAAAAAAAATTATACACATATACATACATAGATCTTTGAAAAAAAGGTGGAAAATAGAAATCAGATATGTACATGTACAAAGAGTGCATGTGTGAATGTACATATACATTCTGGATATTAATATTGGATATTTAATTAAAAAAAAACCAAAAACCAAAAAAAAGGTGGGCCTCATCTACAATTAAAAGATCATGCACACAGACATTTGCAGGCACATGGAAGTTTCATGCCATGAGTGGGCAAAGCATGTACAGCCATGCCCTTCTATGGCCCGGCTGTATGCACCATCTGTGGTTCTTCCAGCATACGTAAATACACAGCGAGTTTTACACTAGAGCGCCCCTGTGCTTGTAAAGATCTGTGTGCATGTACCCAATACATTCTAAACACTATATTACATTTTATTTGTTATAAACACAGGCTCCTGTGACTATACCAATGTATCACTGTAGCTGCCCAAGGAAAAAGTGTATTCTTATAAAAGGTTGAACAGAAATATACAAATAGATAGACGGATTGATAGCTTTTCTCTTGTAGCTGCTGAGGAACCACAAGTCTCAGAATGCCCGGAGAGATGACATATACTATGCTGTGAATTGCAGCTCCTTGGTGCGAGCCCCCCTCCCCTGCCCCAATACACTAAAGGAGGTTGCTCACCTTAGTAGCTGGTTTCTGAAGAGAAGTGGGCTGAAGATTTCTGCCAGCAACTTTGCACTGAGCGGGTTCCTGTTGGAGCTTTGACACAGCTGAAAGAAATGTCTCAGCAGGTACTGAAGAGTGAGCCAGTACTGATTAGGAACGTTTGCAGACTGGATAATCTTCCTCAGCAGTTGTGCATAGTCGTCAGAGTTTAAGGAGTCTGCAGACAGGAGAAGAATACGAATATCAACGAATAATCCACTGCGCATCAATACACTGAAAAATATCACAATCCTGTAGATCCTGAAACGATAGGACAGTAGAGACTGAATACAGGAGAACTTGAGTCTACATGTGGATCAGACCACACAACCTAGGAGGTGTGATTGTTCCAACCCCTTCAGGTCATTGGCTATGGAACAGAACCTCCAGGTCTTGTACTTCTTTGAAGGTTATCAGATCGATATCCTGTTTCTGCGACCGAACTTTCAGCTTGTGGGTTAATAATGTGACGCCCTACATTTGCTCTGTATGGACTTTGTGAAAAGATAAGGCTTCCGCAGAGCAGCAGGTGCGGATTCCTGCAGAGGCTGTTCAACCTGGGAACACCATGTCCTCCCCAAAGACTGTGCATTTGCCAGCACAGATAAAAAGGTTAACAATTACCTCGCACTGCACACAGACAGGAGGGCCTTCAGATTGCTAAATATTACACATCAAATGCCTCTAAACAGCAAAAATTAAAGTGCGTGTGAACCTCCCACTGATACAGGCATGGAAATGTCCCAAAACAAGACGAAAGAAAATAAACAATGCAACTACACCATACAGACACAAAATCTTATTCGTTAAGTTAGTGGAAAACGTATTAATCCACAATAGCCAATCAGCTTTCAGTCTGCTGCAATCAGAGATAATAATCGATCAATATTGGTTATTATACAATACAGGTCATCACTGCTGTTTGCACAGTCTTAGTGAATAAGTCTGGGTAACACCAATCATCTTACACCTCCTAGAATATGGAAGCAGACGCACAAGGTGCAGTCCAAGCAAAAGCAATTTCCATCTTCATGGGTATGGTATGTATGTATATACAAATAAACGCACCTCTTGTTCAATCACCATTTGAAACAATGCAAATATAATATACAATATTTTAATCAGTATGCACATGGATCCTTTGAAGCTGAACTCGGTAGAGAAAAATGACTCTTGCAAAACGGCTTTCCCTGCACTGTAAGGGTTAAGTGCTTCTTTATACCAACAAAAAAAAAAAGACTTATCTAATCCCCTGCTCTTACAGGCCCCCTCCACGCCATAAGACCAGCCTCTTCTCTAGGGTGCTGCGTCGGCAGCAGGCACTCTGAGGTCATCAACAAGGCAGGGCCAATAGTCCTGCATGGTACATAAGGTCACAGAGGGACCACCCACAAGCAAAAGAATCAGAAGGAAGAGTTGAGTGCCAGCTTTTGGGAAGGGGTGCAAGTCTTGTTTCCTGGTAGCCAATGCATAAGTGAACATTTAGCCCTGGTTCATATATATGAAGCCATGCGTGCCGCGTTTTGCGCGGGCACGAGAGCCCATTTCTTTTGAATGGACTCCCATGCCCCGTAGGGAAGAAGTCCCTGCACGTCTTCTGAAAACACAACCCGCACGAGAACCTTGGTTCCCAGTATGGTTGCGTTTTCCAGTGAGGGCATGCCACCTGTGCGGGTGGTGCGGCTGCACGGATTTTCGTGCAGATCCGCAGCAGCACCACCCACACATATGTGAACCTAGCCTTAACCCTTGCAGTGCAGTGGAGCCCCCGAGAGTTCAGTTTTAAAGAGACATTGTACCCTTGCAAAAGAAGGGTATTCATACTTGTGTTGCTGCCTGTGCTTCAGATCTTGTTCTCTTTCACAGCTATGGCCACTAACTGCATCAAACACTTCTCGGATGTGTTGTATGCCTGTACTTCTCACCATGTGCTGTGTTGCCATCCGCTTTACCACTAGTGTGTCCCTAGGAGCTGTGACATAGCAGCTGGCAGGAAGAACCATGTACTGCAGCAGGAGCGGCACTCATCCTACATACCAGGTATTGTGTCACATTCTAAGGATTCTGTAAAAGCACAGGCGGAGGGGGACAGGAAAGTATAAATGCTTTTTTTAATTATTATTCTTGTTTTTTTTTTGTTTTTATTTCATTTAAGTCACTTTAAGGTGGTTCAAAGTAAAACCCCACACTTCTGTATGGCTAAACATCAATTAACATGTTATCAATACAGACCATAAAAGAATCCCTTCGTTCCTTACCTCTTACAGCTGAAAGCATCTCATTGTAAGTGGCTGCTGGAATGACTGGGTTTGGGAGATCCAACAGAAACCTCTTCAAAGCGTCACCCAGAGTAGGTAAGTCGAGATGCTCAAAATCAGCTGCAGCTGAATCTGTAACATAAAATAAAAAAAGGACGGATGACCTCAAGCTCCAAAAGGCAGAATTTAGTCTTTGGTGTCCAATCTGCTGGTGTAGACTCAACACATCCCATAATATGTTCCCAACGGCTCCGCATTCAATCGGACTTTGCTGTGCTGCTTTCAAACCCCAGTTTTAGCTTGAAAAGTAACAGATTGTCCAACTAACACTTGTTGCAAAAGTGCAAGCAGCAAGGTTAGAAAAGCTGATTTTAACAAGTCTTTGTTTTGCCTGTAAATATTATGTATAGACAGACACAACAGACTGTATTCAGGGTGGGGAAAGCTGGCTGGCAACTTCACGGCAGGAGCTGCACAAAAACACAGCTAAAGTCTACAATAACAACCTTGTAGCTAAAAACTAAAACTTGGGATAAAAGAGGGGGAAAGCTTGTGAAAAGTAATGAAAGCTCCACGTGCAGGGCCCTCATATTCCTTCTGTACTGAAATGTATTGTAATTGTACGGTCTCCCTTCTATTGTAAAGCTCTGCGCAAACTGTTGGCGCTATATAAATCCTGTATAAGAAATATAAAATACAAAGCAAAAAAAAAAAAAAAATGTACCGCTGACCGACTCCTAAACATTTCTTACTTTAGTTTTGCATGGAGTGGGGAGGGTTGGGGTTTTTAGTGCTGCCTCTGTAGGCATTGGAGTGATTTTCTCTGTTTGGTCACCAAAAGCAAGAAATACATCGCAGTTTCTGTTCCCATTTCCTGTTGGATCACCAGACAGAGAAGGGAGGAGAATTCTCCCCAACAGGGACACAGCAATAAAAGTCAGACACAGGTGATAACCCTTACCCACTCTCAGGCCTCATTCTCACTTTATCTAAACACAGGAGAAGTGATTTAAGAAGTATAAGACCCGTGCACACAGGCATGAAGATATGTGCGTTCACAGGCATTTGAAGCCAATTTTTATGCACTTGGAATCATGTAATACTTTGCTATGGCTCAATGTAGACCTAGACGCCCAGCAGGGGCTAGGTTCAGTCTAACTGCGTTTACACAAACAAGGAATTTCCACTTTCATACCATTTAGCCTGATTTTCTGCCCTTAAACGTACATAAAAACACAACTACATCTGGATGCATGAGAATTGGATCTGAGAAGAAGTTTTTTTTACTATACTTCCAAGAACGATTTCTTCTGTGTAAATACAGAAGGGCCCCTGTGCATCCCAGATCACTTTTTTCCTGTGTTTTAAAGCGGAAGTAAAGTATAAAAAACAAAAACCAACATAACACAAACTTATCTCTGTTCCAGTGGTCTGATGCCTACAAAATCCCTCACCTGCTGCTTCTTCCCTAGCGTTTTCCAGATGCTGGTCTTGATTGGCTGATGCAAGATGACATCACTCCTGCACGTGTGTTTGCGTTATTCATGCTGCCACACTGGGCCAGAAATGTAAACTGAGCAGTGCATACGCAGCTCAGTGTAAATTCTGCAGGAGATGGCAAACAGGCAGGCAGGTTGAATTTATTGCATGTCTTATCTGCAATAAAAAAAAAGCCTGCCTGTTGGCATTTTTTTTCTTTTTAACTTTAGTTCCTCTTCAAAGTAGGTTTAAACATGCTTAATAATGTATAGTTTCTAATCAGTTCCTGGATGCCGAGAATTCTATGTTAACTAAACGCATCGGCACCTAAACTAAAGTAGGCTCGGTGTAAAAAATGTAAAAATAACTGCATGCATTTATGTTTCGAAATCTCCACTAAATGCATATAAACACAATTGACATTGCCAGTGTGAATAAGGCCCAAGACAATTGACTAGAGTTCAAAAAAATATTTAAACTGATAAAATGTTTGGAAACAAAATATGTTCCTTATCCACATTTGTTATATTAGGTAAACTTTAGATCACCTGATTGCATGCAAAGGTTCAAATCAAAAGCTTTAACCTCTCCAAAGTGACGATGTATTACAATGTAGTTCAGACAGTCATGACACAGAAGTGAAAGGGATTACTGGATGGTTTGCTGCGCCATCTACTGGCAGCAATGTTAATGTGCATAATTCTTGGGGGAAAAAATGAAAAACTATTTCCAGAAAGGACAGCTGGGCCTCAGTAACCATGTATCAGGCAGCCTAAAACGAATACAGGTGCTGCACACATGTACACTGAATTTTTACCACCAGAAGAGCTAAAAAGCTGCTGCCATGGAAATACACCTTTAATCACCTTTAATGTGTGGGTAGCACAGTGGCTTAATGGTTAGCACGTCTGTCTTGCAGTAAATGGGTCATGGGTTCGATTCCCGGCCATGGCTCCTCCTGCATGGAGTTTGCATGTTCTCCCTGTGCTTGCGTGGGTTTCCTCAGAGTACTCCGGTTTCCTCCCACACTCCAAAGACATGCTGGTACGTGAATTGATTCCTGTCCAAATTGGCCCTAGTATGTGTATGTATGAATGTGAGTTAGGGACCTTAGATTGTACACCCCTTGAGGGTTAGGGACTGATGTGAATGTACAATATATATGTAAAGCGCTGCGTAAATTGACAGTGCTATATAAGTACCTGAAATAAATAATCGCTGAATAGACCCTCACATGAAATGCACACTACTCTGAAAAAGCTCATAGCTTACAGAAGGGGCACGGCAGACCCGGCCCGCAGCTCATCGAAGTAGAAAAAAAAAAGTTGTGAGTTCAGAGTTCAGGCCAAAGAAGTTCAGAGGATACCTGAGCTCATCTCTGAACAAAATGTACTATTTAACTACCAGAACTACACTAAACATTTCATCCAACCTCTAAATTATTGCATCTGTAATCCTAAAAGCACCAAGCAGGAATAGTAAAAATTCCCCTTTAAACCTAAAAATACTTTTTTTTTTTTTTAAGTATAAAAAAAAAAAAAAAAAAAAAAAAAGGGGCGATCAGGGTAGGCTTTTAATTGCAGAAGGACATACTGGGGGGCGGGATTTACAAAAACTGGTGCATAAATAATCTGGTGCAATTGTGCAGAGTAGCCAATCAGCTTATAACCAGCTTGTTCAAATAAGTTTTAACAATAAAACCTGGAAGCTGATTGATTTCTATTTAGCAAATCTCCCCCACTATATCTGTGTAATAAAGGACTCTTTACCTGCCTGTTCACCTTCTTACTGACAATGTACACTGCATGCGCAGCTCAGTGGAGAATTTCGGCATGTGCCGAGATAAATGAGCTCGCACATAAGAGTTGTGTCATCCTGGCCAATCAAGAAGAATGAATATTAAGAACCTGAGGAGCTCGAGGACTTGCATCACTGAAGGAGAGATGATTTGAGTCATGCTTTAACATAAGTTAGGGTGTATGTAGCTGCTCTACATTTTTAACACAGCCCGACTACAGTGTGGGGTGGTGAGGGGAAAAAAAAAAAAAAAAAAAAAAAGACTAAAGAAAAAATTTGTATTATCAATTTTCATCTAATTACCACAATTTACCAACAATTAAGCAGTACAAGGGCCAACCTAAAACTTAATAATAAATGAGACCCTAGCATTAATGCTCGTAAATTTTGTTGCTCTGGCTGTTTGCCAATGTAATGCCCTACTTACTAAGGGAACTTACCACATTCAATGATTTGGCGGAGCTCTTGCACACTGCTAGCACTCTGGGTTCTGTACAACGCTGGGGATTCCAGACCTGTAACAGAAAACATGTTAAGCCTCCATGTAAACTAGAACACGTCACTACAGGAGAACATCTGGTGCACCAGCTTCCAACAATGCCAAATTAATAGCCTATTTGGTGGCATCACAGGCTTTCCTAAACCAACTGATTTTTATAGTGGGGGAAATCCCGCCCAGGACAATTTTATACATAGCAAGGATTTTAGTAAACCTTCCTGTAGATTGCAAGTGACCAGATGTCATTTCATTGCACTTGCTGAAAACTTGCAAAATATGTGCCAAGTTTCTACCTTTACCATCAACCACATGATCAGGCTACTCTCCTTTAAAAGAAAGGGAAATAAAAAAAAACCCACCATTGCCACACGTGATGAAATAGGCTTTGCTAGGGATGTCATGCTCCATCTGACAGGCTCCAAGTAATTTGAATTTAGGCTCTGCTGAGATGTAGAGATAGCCAGCAAGCCAGTTGCAGGGGCAAAAAGGAGAATTCTGAGATAATCACCCCACTAAACACTACCACTTTATTTGCTAAAAAGAAAAAAAAATCCAAAAAAAGTTAAAAAAACAAAAAAAAAACCACAATATTTTGACCGTTACAGTAAAATAATGGCTATCTGCAAAATAAAAGGGCAAGGAATTGCAATAATATATCAGAAGACTGCTTGGGAAAAGTACATAGGATTAATACATAAAAAAAAAAAATTGCCAAAATTGGGGCGATTGTTAATTTACAAATAAAATAAAAAGCAACCTGCATTTTAAAAGAAACTTTCCTGAACTATTATTATCTGTTCAGTATAAGCAGATTTATAAAGTCAGTGAACTAAAACAGGTATTTCTACTCTCCTATAGAAAAAGAATTAACAATTAAGCAATGTGTATCTGTCATCATGATCTCTACAATCACCACATTCTTCCACAGAGAATGCTTTTTATTTTCGTTGAAATTTTGAGCCCCACAACCATAAGACCATATAAACGTGTTTGACTTATTTATCAGATTTTGATTTGACGAAAGTCAAACCGTGGATGGAGTGAATCTCAGCCAGTTCAACAGAGACAGGTTGAGATTAAATCAATCTATGATCAGGCTGATTGCACTGAAGTTGATCCATCGGTCACTACCGACGGCTATGGCTGCTAGCAGTGATCATTGTGTTTTGTCGGCATGGAAGGCTCCCCGCTGGCAGAACATAACAGCGAAGTGGGAGGGATTCCCTCATCAACACTGACTGTCTTGATACGAAAATTATGCAATCTTCTTTCGGTTGTAGGAAAGAAAATCTCTCAATCTATGGCTTGCCTTACTCTAAAGAAGTTGAGGAATAAAAAGAATACAATGCAGCACTCCTAGTAAAAGAACTAATTACACCATTTAGCAGTGCCGAGCCATAGATAAACCCTCTACATACCTTTTCTTTCTATAGTCTCCACCAGCTTGATGAGGACCAGCGGGGCTGTCTCTGGTGGTGCAAATTGCTCCGTCAAATCAGGCAGTGTGAAAGCTGCGAGGAAAAAAAAAAAAGAAGAAAAAAAGGAAAGTCATTAGTTCTCAGCTTGAAGAACCAACCTACATAGAAACCACAGTGTGCGAGTTAAAGTTTAAACTCGGAGCAAACATTTGGTATTTGACATGTCTGAGCAAATGTTGCATTCATTGCTTCTGTCTACAAGGGAGGCTGAACAATTAGCATGGCATACTGCACATTATCAGAAGGTCAACTAGGCAAGAGCTGTACACACTTCTAGAGGTAGAGGGCGCCACAGACAAACTTATGTGCTGTGTAGGGAGGGAGAGAATTTTTGGCAAGAGCTGTACACGCTTTAATAGGTTAATCATCATACAGAAAAGCATGCTGGAACATTACTGGCAAATATATCATTAGAATATGGCATTATACTGATTTTTTTGACAGACATAAAAAACAAAAACATTAATAAATATATATATATATATATATATAGATAAATCGGACCTGTGCTGTCCTGTTTTTATTATGCTCTGTAAGGATTTCTTTCACATTTCCCAAGCCAGACATTTTATTTATTTCAGGTACTTAGCGCCATCAATTTACGCTTTACATATATATTGTACATTCACATCATTCCCTAACACTGAAGGGGTGTACAATCTAAGGTCCCTAACTCACATCCATACATACACATACTAGGGCCAATTTAGACAGGATCCAATTAACCTACCAGCATGTCTTTGGAGTGTGGGGAGGAAACTGGAGTACCCGGAGGAAACCCACGCAGGCACAGGGAGAACATGCAAACTCCAGGCAGGTGATGCCATGGTTGGGATATGAACCAATGACCCTAGTACTGCCAGGCAGAAGTGCTAACCATTTGGCCACTGTGCTGCCCACATCCACCACGGTATCTCACCATACAACAGTAAGATTTCCCAGATTGTCGCACATCTCAAACATTTACTTTAAAAGCAGATCACAAGGAAAGAAAATGGAGCGTCTTTTTCCTTCGTACCAAAGAAAACTGGTTAAATTATTGAAAAGGATGTTTACAGAAGGGCTGATCGCTGCTGAGCAGCTGGCAAAGACATCTGTTTTCTTATAAACTCCCATTCATTCCGAGACTGTAGCAAGATGGCGGCCATGTTTGAGCAGAAATATGTTCCAGCCGTGCCCCGCTTCGGCAGCAAAATTCAAAAACTGCTGATTGTGGAGGAGCGCACCAACTGGATCCAACATAAACAAGATTTGAACAGGAAAAGCTCTTACAAGCTTTCAGGCTGAAAAGATGCATTATAACCAGAGCCCAGCTGTAGCAACAAGAGCCGGAGAAGCTGAAGAGCGGGATTACTCAGTCCGACGGCTACGCTCTGCACTGTGCTGTGTTTAAAGTCAAGCCACCCCACAGAATGCCATTCTTTCCCAGCAAGTTTAGATGCCGTCTTTCAGGTGGCTTTAATGTGTCGGGATGAAAATTTCGCCATTCTCTACATTCGTTTTTGCTGACCTGCACAGTGGGTGTAATGTACTGATGGAGTAGAGTCTGTTCACTTCGAATTGTGAAAGTTCGGGAACAAGGTGAAGCTGTGGCAACTTCGACTATGCAATCATAAGCAAGCAAGAGGATTGGGGTACTGACTACAAGGAATCCTCATCCTAGGTTCACACACAAGCGTTTTCTGCAGCGTTTTGCAGAAATGCACAGCAGTCCATTTAACATGATTTCCTATGGGACAGATTCACATCTCCACGTTTTCACCCGGTGTGTTTTTTGGAAAGGGTCAAAAGACTTTTTTTTTAAACGCAGAAAGTTGTGTTTTTAGACACAATGGAAACACTGCAGAAAAGCATGTAGTGCGTTTTTGATGCATTTTAAATTGCCTAGCAACAAGAAAAAAACTCATGCAAAATCGCATGTGCAAAAACACAACACACACTGCAAAACGCAATGTTGAAACGGATCAAAACACAAACTGCGTAGGTGTGAACCTAGCCTTAGTCACAGACCTGAAACCAATTCACACCAAAGTGATCCCTTGCAGCGTGGTAGTGTATATTGGGCAGCATATTGGCTAAATGGTTAGCAGTACTAGGGTCGTTGGTTCGAATCCCTGCCACGGCACCACCTTCCTGGAGTTTGCATGTTCTCCCTGTGCCTGCGTGGGTTTCCTCCGGGTACTCCAGTTTCCTCCCACACTCCAATGACATGCTGGTAGGTTAATTGGATCCTGTCTAAATTGTCCCTAGTATGTGTATGTATGAATGTGAGTTAGGGACCTTAGATTGTACACCCCTTGAGGGTTAGGGACTGATGTGAATGTACAAAAGCGCGGCATAATTTGACGGCGCTATACAAGTACCTGTAATAAATAAATGTGTGCTTTAGAGTGGTTATAAACCTTAGACATGAAATATGAACAAAGCATATCCCTCTGTGTGTACTTATATCAGTCCAGAGCACTAAGTGTCATTTCGGTCCGCTACCTTAATCTGCTCTAAGCACGAGTCGCTTGTGATGAGTTGTCCTGACACCAAGAGAAACATGGTGACAGGGGAGGGAACAGCCTATCATGTACAGCCTCAGCTCTGTTCCTGTGTGTGGGGGGGGGGGTCCCTTCCCGTGTGAGGGGGGGTTGTCCCTTCCCGTGTGAGGGGGGGGGTCTCTTCCCTCCAATCGGCTCTCAGAGTTCTCCTCACAACTGTGAAATCCTGCGTAAAGTCTGCATTTTAAATGGATGTACAGTACAGACAGCCATAGATAAACAGGTACAACTTATGTAGGAGGATTTGTTTCATCTTTGTATCACCTGAGGCCAGTCAGTCACTTCACTGGGTATATGTGAGGGTTTACCCTGCTTTCATTATGAATCAGTTGCCAAAGCAGAAAAAAAATGCGCATGGCCGTTTTTAAAAATGCAGCGCAGCACAATCCGCGGTGTTGTAGTGCGCTACAATGGACTCTACTATACTTTGTGTCTGAGTGCGACTCACCACTACTAGCACCACATTGCATACAGAGCTGTATGTGGAACTGTGCTGTGGTGATGTGTGCTAGCGTGTGCAATTTGCTTGACGTAACACAACAGTATGAATGGGCCCTCAAAGTTCTGAAGTCATTAGACCAACATGCAGCTAGGAAATATTTTCTGTGCAGAACTGAGCAGAGGCAGCCTCCATACATTTCCTGTATCGGTGTCCTGTAAATCTTTTCATTAGCCTAACTGGCTGCTAGGAGTAATTGCTTCAACCAAGAGGTATTGAACTCAAAACAAAAAATGTAATATACTGCAGCTTACCAATCCTTAGATGTGGTGGCTGCATTAGTTTTTTTTTTTTTTTTTAGGCTCTTTTCCCCTCGGTTTTCACCTGGTGATCTGGTCAGTAACACCTCCTGTATTAGACTGCCTACACTCTGGATGAAGGAGCACAGGAGGCTACTTTGGACGAAGCACTGTCAGTCTGGGGGGAAGGGGAGAGTTTGACTTACTAGCAGATTTAGATACACTATGCATTGAACCTGAACTTCTGCTCACACTTTATAAGCAGTTACAGCAACTGTTTTTTTTTGGGATAAAGGTTTTACAAATAAAAGCTGATCATTGTAAATATCCCTGTCAGTGGTTAATTGTTTTTCTCATCTTTGTAACTAACATCTGCAGGAAAGCTTGTTCTTTTGAAAAAAAACAACAAAACAAACAACAGACTTCCTGGCCAGATCTTCATGTGAAATTAAAGGACAGAATGTCTAAAAAAGAAAACAAATGCAGCCACCGTATCTAAGAATTGTAAAAGCTGCAATCTATTGGATGTTTGCTTTTGGATTTAATACAAGAGGCTGATGATCTTCCAGTTCAGGCAGAAATCTGTCTGCCCAAAGGTGGATACATCCCCAGAGAAAAGCAAGCAGCAACACATCACTCCATCCCAGGTCTTGGAACCCAGTGACTAGCTTGTCTCCAACACAGGTGACGTCATGGAACCCCCAGGACACTTGTGGATGTGCTTGCATAACAGATTTGGTGGTAAGCTCTACACAGCTTGATTCTAGAAGGCCATGCTGCAATTACTTGGTAAATATCAAGCTGTATATAGGGGATTCTTCAATTAGCCAGTCCAGGGGACGGAAAAAAATAAAAAAATAAAATAAAATTGTCAATAGTGACCAACCGGGCTTCACAATAAGGAATTCTCTCTGCTTGCTAAAGGTCCTTCTCATTTCCCTTTCTCTGGTTTTATAAAATCAGCCCTTAAAGCAGATAAAGTAGACTAAAATCTTATAAAATCTTCAACATGTTATGTAACTGAAGGGTGTACTCGCATTGTGCACAGCTGATCAAACCGTACCGCCGTATGATCGTCACCCCACTCGCCTGCTGGTGTGCTCACACTTTGCTCTAAGGACGCGTTCTCTGCCATGCTTACATCATCACCTCTGCCCGCCAAACCAGTGATTCCTGCTTCTGTGCTCAGCGATCTAGAAGGCTACATTCACACTAGCCTCGTTAGCAAGCAGCAGACAGGCGTTTGGGAAGCGTTTTAAGCGTTTCCCAAAAGCCTGGGAAAATTCTGCACATTGCAGCACATAGTGCTGTTGAAATGGGAGCGTTAGCGTCGCGTCATGGCAAAACGGATGCCTCTGGTCGAGTCAGGAGTTGAAGTCTCCTATTCAAGTCTATGGTGCCGCTCCGCAAACGCCCGCCTGGCCAGCATTTGCGGTGTGGTTGCAACGCAGTTGCGGGGCATTTGCGGAGCGTTAACACCATTCAAACTTCATTATAGGTTTTTGTGGGCCGTTTTTTTAACGCTTGTCAAATGCCTAGCAACCACCGCTAAACTGCGCATGCAGCGTTTGCAAAGCGGACCAACGCTTGTCAAACGCTATAGGGGCATTTGGCAAGAGTTGGAAAAACAGTCAAGTGTGAATGAGCCCTAAGAGTTCTGCAACCTCACCATAGTGAACCGTACTGCAGTCACACCTCTTCCAATCGGTCCTGGTTCACACTACACAAACATTAAACTAAGGCGATAAGCCGCA